ATTACCAAGTTATTTATTTAATTACTCTCACATGTTTCCTAGTCTGAAAAAAAAAATCAATTCAACTAGAAAAAGAAGACAGCATATAACTACTGATAAAAGTAACTTAAAATCCACAGGACCTCAAAAGGTATGGAAACATTAGGATCATTAAACGTTCTGTAAATAATGTACAAAGAACTTTCAGATTGTGAAAATAAGCATTTATATTTAGATGGGTTCAATTTCAGACATCTTTGCAGAAGTTACTATATACCTAGAAGTCAGGAAAGGAGTGAAATGGAGACAGAGTTTAGGATCAATGAATGTGAAGCTGAACTCAGAGATTTGAGTTATATCACTGTTAGGAAGTAGCATGTTATGATTTGGAAGTGAGGTGTCTCCCAAAAGCTCATGTGTGAGACAATGCAAGAAGATGTAGAAGAAAAATGATCAGATTATTATGAGAATCTTAACTCAATTAGTGAATTAATTCCCTGAAGGGATTAACTGAGTGCTAACTGAAGTGGGCAGAGTGTGTGGTTGGAGGAGATGGGTCATTGGGGGATGTGCCTTTTGGAGTACATGTTTTGTATCTGACCAGTGGGATCTCTCCCTCTGCTTCCTGATCATTACATGAGTCACTTCTTTCTTCCACACTCTTCTGCCATGATGTTCTGACTCATCTTGAGTCCCAAGGAATGGAGCTGTTCTTCTATAGACTGAGACCTCTGAAACTGTGAGCCCCTAAATAAACTTTTCCTCCTCTACAATTTTTGTGATCTGGTCTTTTAGTCATCACGGGGGGGGGGGATAAAAATTTGAGTAAAACAATGTGAAAAAGGAGAAGGGGGAAGGAGTCCTGAGAAGGGCCTCTATAGGGAACATACACATGGATGAAGACATGCCCATAAAGCAGATGAGGATGTAAGATAAATGAAAGGAAATAAGAAACAGGGAGGGTTTATAAAAAGAGAGGCTGTTTAATCAAGAGTGGTAGAAAGAGTCTGTAAAAATGGGTAGAAAAGTATGTTTCCTTTATTTGCCCCAGCTAGTGACAGCTGTCTTGGCCCTAATCTGTCAGCTTCCTGTGTCCTTATTTGCATATTACTTTTAAATGGACTCTCTGGAAGATGCTAGCTTTCTTAAGAATCTCAAACTCATGGTAGTCTCCATCATACAAGTTGCCCATTGTGTGTGAAAATCATGAAAACTAAATCAATCATTTTCAGATATTGCTTCCTTTGATGTTTTCATTGGCTGCAATTCTGCTTAATTCACTCTTTATTTCCTAAAAATTTAGATCATTTTCTACCCATGTATAAAAACATGCATGTTTCTATGCATGTAAAAAATAAAACTGTTGAGGCCGCATACGGTGGCGCATATTTATAATCCCAGCAGCTCAGGAGGCTGAGGAAGGGGGATTGCAAGTTCAAAGTCAGCCTCGGCAACTAGACGAGACCCCAATCAACTTAGTGAGACTGTGACTCAAAATTTAAAAAAAAAAAATGAAAAGGGTTGGAGATGTTGCTCAGTGGTTCAGCACCGATCGGTCCAATCCCTGGTACCAAAACAAAACAAAACAAAACAAAAACATAGTTGATACCATACACTTCCAAATGGAATAGAAATTTAAAATTATGTACTGATGGATGATGCTCCATGGGTGCACTCCACAAGGCCCGCAACCTCCACAGCAGTTATAGATGGCGTTCGGAAACTATTTCAGTAGTGGCCTGATTAAGTCAGCTCTAAAAATAGAGATGATCTCTCTGTCCTGCTCAAACCTTGATTTTCAACTCCATAAATCTTTCTGTTACATTCTGAGTCCTAGATTCATTCTAAGTGAATAATAAAATGTTAAGGAATAGATATTGATAATATCATTTATATAGCATGTAAGACCCTTCATTTTATAGTGGCTACTTTTCTAGGACTGTGTCTTATCTAGTGCAGACACATGGCTTCAGCTCTCCTGGCTGATGCTATCTCATGCCCTTATATTTTTGCATGCTTTGTTTCTTCTGCTTAAAATGTTCTTATTCCATTAATGGTTAATAATATATGAGATATATATATATATATATATGTTTTTCAATTTCACACATAATCTCATTTAATTCTAAGCATAGCACTGAGGTTCAGGTATCACTAGCTCATTCTGTACATTACAAATGGAACTTTTGAGAGAGAAAGTTTACCAAGATCCTACGGAAAGTGATAGCATAAGGAGGTGAACACAGGCAGTCTGACCCAAAGTCCATCATCTTTTTTTTTTCACTTATTTTTATTTTTTACATACATGACAGTGGAATGCATTAAAATTTTATTACACATATAGAACACAATTTTCATATCTCTGTTAGTATATAAAGTAGGTCCATCATCTTAACCTACACACTCCACTTCCTTTTCTCCATCAGGTATTAAGAAGGTTTACTTTATGTCTGATGTTCTGCACCCCATTTTCAGGTACCTTATGTACTAAATGATAATGTCTACTTATCACTCTACAGTACAATGGCTGATTTACCATTTTGTCTAAAATAATGTACAGTTCACCTCTTAAGAATTGGGGTCATGGCATTTAGCTCTACATCCTTGTGAGGTGATTGGCAGTATTGTTTTGTTTGTTTGTTTGTTGTTATTGTTGTAAATATAGAAACTAAAATTTAAAAATATGAGAGAAATGCCCAAGATTACCTAGCTGGGTAAGACTGAGACAGGACCTTGAACCCAAGGCTTCTAACTCTCAACTTCTGGTTTCTCTCCCTTCTATGTTATCTTTTAATATAAGAACACAATGAAGTCATGATAAAGTAGGAAACTCCCTGAAAAAATTCACGTAAATAATACATATCAATGTAGTCTACCCAAGGCATTAAAATGGTGAAAGGGAATAGTATAAAGACCAAGCCAAAGAAAAGTAAATTTAATAATTCCATTTTTTATTTAAGAGAGAGAGAATTTTTTAATATTTATTTTTTAGTTTTTGGCAGACACAACATCTTTGTATGTGGTGCTGAGGATCGAACCCGGGCTGCACGAGCGCCAGGCGAGCACGCTACCGCTTGAGCCACATCCCCAGCCCAACAATTCCATTTTTCAAAGGCAATATGGTTACATTATCCATACTTATGCCATATTGATAATTAGTTAGTATTAACTAACTAATTATTAGGCCTAAAGTAAGAAGGGAAAAGTAACAGATGAACATATATGTCCAAGTAAATGGATATTTTATTTCATGGATTGCTAATTAAAAAAATATATTTTAAATACTGAGTCTTTAATCTGAAAATAGGTAATCTCAGTAAATCATCTAATTGGTGATAGCTTACCACTTTGCATGCAAGTCCTTGTTCTAAGTAGATCAACATTAATTTTAAGTCATGAATAAAAATACATGCGATATGTTTGTGTGTATATATATATATATATCATGAACATTATAAGCAATGTTTGCTAAATATGAACAATGCATTTATGCTTTATTAGTCTATTAAAATAAAAAATTTTCATCCATGCATAATTATATACAAAGCCTGTTTTATGTCATCAGTGCACATGAGAAATTAGAACAGCTGAAACTTACTATGATTCAAAAGTTACACAGTCCAGATTTTCAGTTTAACTTACAGAAAGCAGTCTCCTTAAATGGACTAAATCCAAGTTATTGTTGTTGTTTTCATATTTTCACAATACAAAATCTTTTCTTTTTTGTTAATAATGTATAACTTTTGGTCAGCTCTATCTCTTTGCTATCTATAGCTCTTTGAATAGGAAAGAGGTTGTTATTTAACTTGTTTTGTGTATCCTAAATATTGTGACATTGAGATAGATTCATTTAACCATGTTTGAATATAACTCTCATACATACTGATGAGTTTTCACCAAAGAAAATAGAATCACAGATTAATTAGAAATAGATACTTTGTAATCAGAAACATAATATTTTTAATCTGACACTCTGCTGTTGATTTGGACATCCTATGGTCTCCCTAAATGTTACCTTTCACTATTCACATACCTAACCCAGGCTCAAATATCATAATCAATTTTAGAATTGATATCTTGTTACTAACTACATTAACAATTTCAAATGTGCAACACATATTTTAAAGCCTCTACACTGAAAATTCTTCAATAAATTCACATTTCTTCATATTCTCATTAGAAACATTTCTTATACCAGTGAATATTCACTGAGACATCTGAACTAGATGTCTAAACTTTTTTTCCCAGTGAAATGATTTTGTTATGAACATTGTCTCTAACTTTCAGGTCTGACTTGATTTTAAAAATCATTCATTTTCCTTTTCTTTCTTGCTAATGCCACAGATTTCTGCATAATGGACATAAAAAAGTACACAAAAAAATGTCACCTTCCAGTCTTGATTTCTGTGAGAACTTGTAGATAATAAGAATTGAGGATTTGATGGCTTGCAGTACTTATGAGCCTTTGAAATTTCCAGAATTATGAGATTCTGATACAACAAATAAATTTAAAAGTATAAATCTTTACTTTTATTGCTATTCTGATGCTAATTTTAATCTCCAAGATGATTTTTAGACGGGTTAAAAAAAAAAGAGGATGCCTTAGTAGAAGTAAAGAGATATCTGTGATGCTCTCTTGGAGGTAGGCTAAAATAAGGCCATGAGCTCAATGGATTCAGTTTCAGGAGATCTGGAGCTCTCTGTCATTTCTATTCCAGTGAAGTGAGCAGTATCCTGTAAGGAACACTGAACCACTTAAGAAAGTTATAAGGCATGTGATCTATTAATCTCTGAGGCTCTTTTTGAGTTTCCATTCTTTTATATTAAAATGCAGTATTTCCTAGAAAACTAAAAGATAGGCCTAAAATAGATATATATAATTGCTATTAACAAAGAGAGATTTCACAGTGCAAAGAAATAATAAAGGTAGTAGATAGAAAAGAGGGAGAGGAAGACAGAGGGAGGGGGAAACCTTTTATAGGATTCATCTCACTCTGCACATTTAGTTCAGAAGACATTACCTGAAATGATACCACAGTAATGACTGTGAAGAGCTGACTTCTCTGTGGCTTTTTCTTCCACGGACCTTTTCTGCCTATAGACACGGTGTGGATGACCTGTTATGGCCATTGTATCATTGAGTGGCTCAATAAATATGAAGTCCTCGTTGAGCTGTATAAATCCCATCTGGAATATACAACACAAAAAGATAGGTCAGAAACCCCATTTAAAAATTACTTTCTAAGTTCTTCTATTCACATGTTCTGTTTTCTTTAACAAATATGCATGTGATCTTCTAGAGAATCTATTTCAGTGACCCCACTAGAGAGGTAACTATCTTCACATTTTATTACTTCATCTTTATGTGCTTTATTGCACTACCATAAACTTCATTTAGTAGTCTAAGCCTGTGTGGGTGGGAGGCTAGATGCCAGCAACAGATGCACAGTAAAAATTCTGGAATGTTAAAGGCTCACTTTGGGAGACCCATGGGGTCACTTACATGTACAACATGTACAGAAAGAGGGATGCAGTTTTTAATTGCATACACCACAGAGTCCAACTTTTTGACAATCAGTACTTAGTGAAGTAATTCATGTAACATCAAGGCAAATGCAAGATTCATAATATTGAAAGTAATTTGTAAAATATTCTTAAAGTTTTGTACTAGGCATTTTTTTTTAAAAATTACAAAATAAATGAAGCAAAACTTACATAAACAAGTTTAATTTTATAATGGTCTTAGCCACCCAACTGTGGAAAGTTAAAAACTGTAAACTATGATTATCATCAATGAAAAGGTCTTACAAGTAGGTATCCTTGTAATATATTGAAGCTAAGCCTTCTCATTTATATCTTTCCTTCTTTTGGAATATAAATTGATTTATAACTAGGAAAGTATTCCACAGAGACAGACATAATGTGAATTAATCTTCTTGTTATTTTTAACTCTACATAATCAAGATAAAAATAGAATACCCTTAATGTCGTTACCTTTAGCAAATTCTAAATTATTGTTCTAATGTTTAAAAACACTTGTTATGTCTAGTGTTGACATTTTGAAGGCTTGAAATATTCTATTTTTATCATAAAAACTTATATTTTCATAAAAGATATTCTAAAATGCTAAGAAATAATCACTTAAAACCTGCATTATTCATACTCAATCTAGTAATATAAGATATAGTTCTTAATTATTTCACATCTACCATCTGGAATTTAAGTATAGCTCATTTTAATTTGATCAACATATAAGTAACACATTAATTAAATAATTATTTATTCAGATAGAACAATTTTCCAAAGTAAAATTTAAGAAAAAATAAATTCATCCTGAAAAATACATACATTTTCCTTGGGTGTCTGGTTTGTTCTTCTCCTAGCAGTTAGCACAGGGTCCACCATATATAAAGTATTCAACAAATGTTTGTTAAATAAAAGAATGATCGAAATTTATCTCCTTATTTTTTCATTTTTCCACTACTGTATTCAAATTTACATTTTATTTTTATTACTAGAGTGTGTTAGCAAAGATGTAATACACTAATGTTATTAGAGTGCATTACATCTCTAGTACAAAATGACCAGCTGATTGCCAATGTGTTACATAATCATTTTATTTTGTACTGAACTAATATTACAATACACTTTTAGAAAAATATCTAAAGACCTAATCAATTTCATCTTATTGAATTTTTCCTATCACTAATAAAATTCTTAAGAATTGAAATACATAATTCTATCACTTGTTTTTCTCCTTTCTCCTTCCTATCTCCCTTTCCCTGTCTCTCTTTCTAACACACACACACACACACACACACACACACACACATATTCACACATATTTGACATTAAGGGATGATGTAAAAAAGTTTCACTCTAATGACTCTTTAAAAAATATGAGGCATATATATATATATTTATATGTCAAATATTTTATGTAATTTTAATGACTTCCACTGAGTTGTTTTATTTTTTATTCTTGTTTTAATTCTCTAAAATTTGAAACAATCTTGAATTTTAAAGTAATTACATGAAATCTAGAAATTTTTCTATGGTTAATTAGATTAACAACATGAGAATATAAAACATTAAAAGTATTGAGTGGCCATGAAAAATGTAGTACATCTACACATAACTTGAAAAAAGATGGTGTCACATTATATATCTTTGAGCCAGTCTATAAAAATATAGATATGTGTTAGTTTTGTCTTATACATTAATGTAATTCAAGGCCATTAATAAAACTGTAGCTGATGATTAAATCATAATGTGTGGTTAGGATATCCCAAGCAAACATGCTGAGTTTTACCTAAATCATAAATTTGTGATCCAACACATTCTTTCATCAGGTTATAAAACTGGTTAGATTTGTAATAAATGTTACAAAACATAACTGCATAGTATCATATACAATTTAAGGAGTTCAAGAACAGATTTTGGTTTTAAGATTATTTGCTAGCAACATAACAAAGACAAAGTTACAGCAACTTTATCTACACTACTTCCTAGGGCCATTCAGATACATGTAATGCTTTTAGCATGTAGTCTGATGCTAGATAACTATTCAATAAATACTCACTGTTATTTTTATTTTAATAATAAGGATAACATAATGTAAATATATTTAATTATAAAGATACTAGTAAATATAAGCACCTAAACATTTGAATATAAACTACAAAGTTCACAGAGTTCAAAGAATCAGTTTATTCATGTTTGTATTCCCCCATTAGCACATTAATGTCCAAAATAAATGTTTTATTTTATTATGTTTTGTTTTGAGACAGAAACTTCTTCATAATGTAGCACATCTATTTTGTTAGGAATTTTTTCTGTCAGCAATTTTGAAAACAAGAAAGCCATTTTTTAAAAGGAAGAAGTTAGAGTAATTATAAAGGTGACTCGTTCATTCAATACATGCCTACTGTCTACTCACTGTGTGCCAGACTTGGTTCACTCAAAGGCATAGTTAGCCCCAAATGTCACAATGTACATTTTCTATCTGAGACCACAATGCTATCTTGTAGCACAAATATTGTCCAGCTTTGTTCTGTACAATTCAATGTATGGGCCTAGATTAAAATAGAACTGCAAAAAATCTTGAGGTTTTCTGTGCCTCTCACAAAGGAACTATTTTGTTTTTCTGTTAACAAAATAGAATTTTTTTTTATCTGCACTGTAATTTTACAAGCCTTGGAAGAACACAAGCACATATTAAACTTTCTACACAAGAGTCCTCAAGTCCAACAATCCACAATTAGGCAGCATTTATTTTAGTTGCAAACATTGTCTTCTCAATTTTAGAAGAAAAGATTATGTGAATTAATATGGTATAACAACATATTATTTGCAAAAAAGTTAAAGTGTTTTTCTCCTTGAGCATCTTTTAAAAAATTTTCCAGATAATTTTCACTATTTTAAAACTTTTCATAAAAATAACTGGAAATACAATTTAATTAAAGTGTTGTTAACTCCTTTATTTAGATCATCACAAGCATGTGCTCAAATGGTGGGATTCCTTTGTCATTTATTCTTTGATTTTATGATGTAATAAGAATTTCAGGGCTGGGGATGTGGCTCAAGCGGTAGCGCACTCGCCTGGCATGCATGCGGCCCGGGTTCGATCCTCAGCATCACATACAAGCAAAGATGTTGATCCCACCAAAAACTAAGAATAAATATTAAAAATTCTCTCTCTCTCTCTCTTTTTTTAAAAAAAAGAATTTCAATTTCAACTTGCAATTTATCATTGCTTATGTGAAAGAAAATAAGCTGTCAGTCATTTTTTTTTCTTACTAGCTTTTATATTTTATTTTACTCCTATTTTATATGCTTCTGATTTCTACAAGCATGAATACAAATTTCCTTGTAGGTGTATTGACACTACCAACTCATAATCACAATGTGAAATTTGATTGGGCTAATGTGCAGAGATGATTAAACATTGTTGCTTCAATTCATCAAATATGAAACTTCATTTGTTCAAATTCGAATTGATTTTGGGCTGTGAAAGTAATGAACAGATGTTAGAGTCCCAGTGCAGGTCTATCTGAAGCAGTAGGTGGAACAGGAAGTCATATGGCAATATGGCACTCCTTGCTCTTGTTCCCACTCCTGCTGTGATGACTAATTCACTTCCAGTGCCTCACTTTCAGCTCACTCCAAGAGCCAAAATGCTACTATAATAATTATAAGTTTTTTTCTTAATTCTAATCTCTCTTCTTTCTACTTTCTTTATTTTCCAGAATCTTCATTTCTAGGTAAAATTTCAGTGTACTAACTGAATGTATTTTAGACTCAAAAGAATGAAAATTATAGTCCATTAATTAAGTAATGAATGAGTCTATGATACCTTGTTTTTTAAAAATATGATGCAGCAGTTCCATTGCTGAAGATATATCCAAAGGAAATGAAATCAGCATGTATTGGTTAACATAGCCAAGATATGGAATCAACTTAATTTTCCATCAGTGGATGAATGAATGAAGAAAATTTGTTATATATATGCAATGGAATACTACCTCGATTTAAGAAAGAAAGAAATCCTGTCATTCGTGACAACACTGATGGAGAATATAATGCTAAGTGGAATAAGCCAGGTACAGAAGTCCAAAACGGCATGATTTCACTTTCCCATGGTATCTAAAGGCATTGAACTCCTGGAAGCAAAGAGAAGAATGGTGGTTACCAGAATGAAGGCAAGAAGGGTTTGGGAAAATGTTGGTCGAAGGATACAGAGTTTCAGATAGTCAAGAGATTAAGTTCAGAGACTGATTGTTCTACATGGTGAATGCAATAAATACCAATCAACTGTTTACTGAAAAATTGTGGCAATAGTTTTAAATGTTCTCATTATTTAAAAATTATGTGAGACAATAGATATACCTATTAGCCTAATTTAAACTTTCCATGACATATATATATATATATATGTGTGTGTGTGTGTGTGTGTGTGTGTGTGTGTGTGTGTGTGTGTATAGTAGTACACCATTAATATGTACCATTTTAAAATATTAAAATAATTCACTTTAAAATATAGTATGTCACAAGAAGTGAATGTCATAAGCACTAAAGGAAATGAGGAAGGTGATAAATCATAATAATGCCAGGATATGAAAAAGGTCTAGGGGATAACAGAATTTGGATGAGATGAAAGGCAAGGATGTTCCATTGTTATCTGGGGC